CATGTATAGCTCCTGATAGAGAAGTCCTACTCATTGCCTTCTGTCCACCGGGGTGTTTGTTTACATAGCTGAGAGGATGAAAAGCGAATGTCCGCAGCTTGAACCGTATTCGCGGACGCGGTTAATCCAACAATCCTGCACATAGATTTCAGAATCCTGCGGTAACAAATGGCGTATGGACCTACTGTTCGCTAATAGCTACCATAGGACTTCATCTCCCAACGCCGCTCTATTTTCTTGTGGATTAGACCTCTAGATTAATGGTGCGGAGCGGAGAGTAGTCCCCTAAGAAAACCATCTGTCCGGTTTTCTGGAACTCGGGCAGTATCCAAGCAAACTCACTTATTCACTGATTTTTCTGATGAATAAATATTTAGGTGTCTTTAAAAAGAATTGATTGTCAATTAGACCGACGGATAACATCGAAATAAATTCTTGCAATAGGTTCAGAGCTTTTAATCAACGATGTAAATTTTACTTCACAAAGATAACTATCCAATAGTAAAGACTGATAATTTGTGTAATGTTTAAGGAGAATTAACTGTAGTTAAAAAATCAATCCAACGAATTTCCACTAAGTGGTCTAAAAGTTAAACGTTCAGAATGTGACCTAAAAGTCGTAAGTTCATTTCTAAGTGTGGTCATAAATGTTTACCATGATTCGAATGAAACAAATTTTAAATGCTTCCTGGTTTCTCACTAGTAATCTAAGTTATTTCAAATAATTATATAAACTACAGAAGGCACCATCAATCATAAATTATCAGAGGAGGAAGTGGATAAGACACAGATTGCCGACAGAACCCAACTACGTCAGAAGACAAGCCGTCAGTTGGAGTCCTCAAGGTCAGACAAACAGAGGAAGAGCAAAGAACACATTACGCCGAGAAACTGAGACAGACATGAGACGAATGGATAACTATTGGACAGAACTGGAAAGGAAGGTCGAGGACAGAGCAGAGTGTAAGATGCCGGTCGACGGCCTATGGTCTATTGGCGATAACAGAGGTAAGTAAGTAAACTAGTAAGTGAAAAATCAATAAATCCTAGTCGCCTGATCTAAGAGTTCAACAGTGGGTATGAAACTTAAAAGTCCCAGGCTCATTTTTCCGTATGGTCACAGATGCTTACCATTACTAAAACGAAACAAGTTTCCAGAGCTTCCTAGGTATACATTAATTTTTCAAATGGCGGTTTAAAAGCTTTTCATGCAACAATTTCAGTAAAACGTAATCATTTTGAATTTTTTCTGTCATTCATTGATTAGGTTGAAAGATTTCGAGGCCAAAAGACATGCCTAATGTCGTGTAGGTGACGAGTAATTTCTCTACTGTGAAACTTTTTGTCGATTTAGCCTCAAATTTTCTGGCTAGTGTTCGGTGATGTAGAGAAAATTCCTCCTCCTTTCGGTACTTCCAAAGTATGTGTGCTTTGGCATGTACAACATATGAACCGGTAAACACAATTCTAAGTAACTATATTCAATTGTCTTAATAAATATTTGGTCTTGTATAGAGAGAGAGACCGATTCGGCCGAGTTCGAGCATTCCCTTAAGTCTAAAATCATTTCTCCCAGCTATCTGAGTCACTTGTATAACCAAGTTTCAAAAAAGACCAGATGTTTTTCTGTAAATCATAGGATATTCTTTCTTTTTTGCTAGTCAATCCATATTTACGTTTGAATTTTGGCGGGTAATCGATTTCAAATAATCAGAATTCAACTATGGTTACCTGTCTCTCCCTCTCTCAGTGCTATCATCATCAGAGTATAATCTTCGTTACACAGTTGAATAGCGTTCTATTTAAAACTGTTTTATGGCTTATTAGACAAAAGCTATGGAATTTGAAATACACAAACCACTCTACATATTATTCTAAGAAATATATATATCTTTCTAATTGGTCATTTAGATTACGTTTAATATCAAGTTCTAAGAAACGAAACATTGAAAATTTGGAAGCACTAGACAGTAGTTTCATTTCACTATGGAACTCAGTTCATATCTACGACCACACGCGCAAAAATTAAACTGAGCAGCTTCGATCTCGCGTGTGAATGCTTAATCTCTAGACCACTAAGTAGGCATTCGACTTGTGGTGTCATGGATTTGTACTGCTAATGAGTCTCATACTAAAACGAAACAGGCATCCAATACTTTCAGATTTTTAACGAATGACTAAAACTGATCAGTTCATTACTGCGATGGAATCGTCTTGCTGACATGTACAATTTCTTTTAGTTATATAAAAGTTTAAGACCAAAACGATCATCGAACCAGACTAATATGAATTTATTGGGGATTTCGTGAATTATCATTGTAACAGTTTGAAATGTTTACACTATCAGCTGCCTAGTTTTAGCTTTCAAAAGTGCATTTTATATGGCTGTTCTATCGCACACACAACAACAAATGCAAAAGAAGAGAACCAGTGTAGCAGAAGCCTCAACAGCAGTAGGTTTCATCAAACAGAATGAGAAACACGAGTTTCTCCTATATAGCACAACATAAACCAGCCAAATCACACTTCATGGAGATGCCTTGGAGGCATCTAGACAGAATCATTAACGAGCGAAATGGATCTGACGCAGATTTGTCGGCACGGATCGGCAAAACAGTAACAAGTGAACAACATCTAGAACTCAAAACCACTATCAGCCAACTCCAAAGTCAGAATTTTCAATACAAATTTCAAGAGGCGGAAATTTGAGAACTACGAAAGACATCATCCAGAAGATACAAGTATTTATTAACAATTGTCTACGCAAAATACTGACGATCCGTTGACCTGGCACCAACAGCGAAAACCTACTGTAGGAGAGTATAAACCAGATTCCAGCGGAGGAGGAAAACAGGAAGAAGCAGGAAAGCATCCGACTGCACCACAAGTCAAGCCCTCACTTGCAATCCTCAAGGTCAAGAAACACATTACATATTTACTTATTATATATAATCAGAGATATCATTTCCAATAAACAGTCGTCTGTAAGATTCAGTGAACAGTAAGCAAACCCAAAAACTCCACCTGTAAACCCTTAGGAGGCTACTGCCGTTCCAAAGCTCGGGTAAAGGAGGACCGGTTGAGATGTGGGTTGGTGACCCAACCCCGGAAAAAAGTTACTTCCCAAAAAAAAACGCTAACAAGAAAAATTAATTCAAACCATATAAACTCTACTCTGAGAGTTAGAAGGTCTTCATTTAGAAGAATTATGCCGTCCCTAACTCCATCTGTAGACCCTTCGGGGCTATTGCCGGTCCTAAGCCCGGGTAAAGGAAGAGGGTTGAGATGTAGGTTGGTGACCCCATCCCGTCAAAAAACTAACTTGCTAAAAAAAACGCTAACCAGAAGAAATAAGTAAGCATGATGAAAGCTGAGTTCCGTCGGAAGTCATATATAAGGCCAATACCCCTCCTGACAATCAGAACCCTTTCACAATGTGGGCAGCCGACAACTTATTTGTCTCATTCTCATTTCAATACCCAACTAATCCCTTGATAAACCTTCTTTTCCCCTTAATTAAGCAAGGAGAACAATAATATTTACAGAATAAAAATGAATTTTATTATATTATATTTCAAGGAGTTTAGTTTTCATTTACCTATCGAAAAGCAAGAGACTTTACTACAAATTAATAACTTTGTATAGATATATATAGATAGATAGATAGACGTATAAAAGCATTTCGTTTAACTTGTTTATAAACACAATGTTTTTTCGCATCAAAACGAAACCATTATTTACAAGATTTTCAACACATTGTTGGTTGGTATACAGAAAAGAACTTTGACCAAAAATGCTTAAAATCATACTAGTAATAATAACAATAATAGTGGTAGTAGTAACTAATCGCTAACTTTTTGCTTACATCATCAAAGTTGCATAACAATTACATCAGAGAAACAAAATCATGTCTTTCCTACAAAATCATGTCTTGCTCTATTTGTTAGTTTTTTAACTGAAAAATCAATAAAAAAAAAGAAAGCAATAGGAAGGCACCCAATTTTGAGCCAGTGGTTCTGTGCATTGATTGGCTAATGAATATATATATATATATATGTCTATATGTGTGTATATATCATTTGCAGCGATGACCTTGAGAAATCGATAATTATGTACAAAACAATGATGCAGATATACTCAACATTACATCCTCGTCATCATCATCATCATGACGATAGAAATAAACACCGAAATAAAAATGTTTTGAAATAAGAAAGAAACGAGGGAAAACAAAACACGGGAAATAAGATTGTGTGTATGTGTATGTGAGGCGGTGAGGGACTTGGTGCATTGGGGTTGAGGGTAATTTACAGTTAGTGCATGAATGAACGCTGCCACAAAAATGTGTGTTCATTTACAAACAAAATGAAAAAAAAACAATAATTGAAGAGGTTTGTTTTAATGTGAACTGAGAAAAAATGGCAGTTGGTCAATTTTTTTCTTACGAAATCGTGGATCGATTAATGTTAGATCATCGCCGGTCGAAACTTGGAAGCACTGGACGACCATTTCGTCTTGGTATGGAGCTCGTCAATGGCTGTGTACATCCACGACTTCTGCATCCCGCAGGATTCGAATTTAGGACCTACGGTCTTCAGCACGAACACCTAACCTCGAAGGTCCTGAGTTCGAACCCTATGGAGTGCAGGTGTCGTGGATGTACACGACCACTGATCGATGCTATACCAAGACGAAATAGGCATCCAATGCTTTCAGGTTTCTACTGGTGATGATCTAACATTAACAATCTCCACAAGTTAGTTAATTGACTAAAGTATTTTGATTTTTATCAAGTTCCTGGGTTTTTTTTACAGTACATATATTCATTGTGATGATCATAGCGATTTTCAAAACCCAAAAAGTTTTTCCCATGAAATTCGTTGTGTTATAGTTTGTATTATTATTATTATTAATATTATTACTACTAAAGTTTGTTTAAGCTCGAAAATACTTTTAAAGTGTTCTACGGCCACTGCCTGGCTGAGATGAATTTGCATAGTTCAAATATGTGTCATTGGTACTGAGGACATAAGGAATAAATTATTACTGTTATTATTATTAGTAGTAGTATTAGTAGTATTGTTGACATCAATTTTACGTCCAACATGTGGTTGTTGTTGACCAGGTAAATTAGTTCCACTGCCGGCACCTCCACTTATAGTTGTACCATCCAATGGACCGCTGTTAAACGAAGCAGAATTCACTTGTAAACCAGACAATGAAACTCCAGACGTACCAAGCATTGTTGATCCACCTTGTATAGGCGGTAGTGTATGATTCATAAGGATACTGGTTGAATGATGACATTCTAAACTTGTTGGTGGAGGCAATTGAGGAAGTAGTCGACTATTAGGAATGTAATCATCTTGCCATGTTGGCGGGGGGAGATTTGTCCCTGCGGATAATTGTGGATTACTATTACTATTCATCCAAATATTTGATTGTCCAACATTTCGCCAACCCATTGTACCTGGATTGGTTGATGGTTGTGGAGGTGATCTAGCTCCGGTACGACTGACAACAGCAGCCACAGATACAGCTGCTTGAGTTCGTTTTGCGTTTTTCCCATTGGAACGATTAAATGTTCGTTTTAAACATAATTGCCATGAATCCACTGTTTTACTAGACCAAATCCAAAAACCCGATGTGATACCGACAACAAGTGACATAAAATATTTTAACATAAACACCGCATATTCCGGTTGAACTGTGGCATATGTTGGCGGTGTTAAATACAGTGTAAAACCATTTTTTCCCTCCAGAAATTTATCACTTGTTTGCAGTGAATGTTGTTGATGATGATTGATCAATATGGATTTCAATTTCTCAAGTAAATTTTCTTGTGTTATCTCTTTCGTCATTGAGGATAATGGTGTACATGGACAATTGTGCGCTTTATTCCACAGATCACGATGATATAATTCATAACAATGACATGCAATCACTACCGTCGCTGGAACTGTATACAACACACCGAATATTCCAATACGTATCATTAACTTTTCTAATTTATCGGTTTTCAAATGACCACGTGCTTGTAGTTTAATTTCACTGCGAATTTTAAATAGCGCCACAAAACCAGCCAATAGAAATACTGTGCCTAAGCCTAAATAAATACACATTGGCGCTAATACAAATATACGTAAATAGCTTAGATTTGTTGAACCAACAGTGCATAGACCACCAACTGGATCACCATCAACGGCGGACAAGATTAATACAAATATCGCTTGGGCGCCAGGAAAAAACCAAGCGAAAAAATGATAGATCTAAAAGTTGACAAAAAAAAGAAGATTATTGGAAATCAATAGATTAATCGATTAGAATTATGGGGATAAGTGTTGTTACATGTTGAAATCATGAATCAGTTATTGTTAGACTACCATTAGAAACCTGGAATTATTGGACAGCCGTTTTGTCCTCGTACGGGACAGTGACAGTGTGCATCCATAACTCAAACGTTAGGCATTAAGACCATCGCATGCCAACCCGGTTGCCTAGAGGTTAGGCGTTCCTGAGCAAGATCAGAGGTTCTGGGTTCGGATCCTGCAAGCAGCAGGAGTCATGGATGCTTACTAATGATGAGTCATCCCATAGCAGGATGGAACATCCGTCCACTGCTTGAAGATTTCTAATGGTGGTGTAACAATGATTTACTGATGATCTTAATGTGTAAAAGTATAAATATCAGTTTGCATTTTGAAAAAGATCAATAAAAATACCGAAAGGGAAAAAAAAACGATAAATATCATCATCCTTGTAAAAATAAAAAATTACACTCAGGAACCGTTCTACAGTTATACTGGGTTGCAAAGTCCGATCTACGGTCCATGAGAAGTAACAGTTGCTAGTACATGAAAAACAATAAACACTATTGAAAGAAGGAGATGAATAGTTCAGCTTTGAAGGTTTTATTAGTGTTCGAACACTAACAGAAGCTGACACCACTGGTCAGAGTAATAAACAATGTTTCATAGTCAACAAAACCTTTGTCAGTTATTTATAATTTTACATTGCAATCGTGAATCCATCATTGTTAGACTGCCATTAGAAACCTCGAAGCATTGAATGTCTATTTCGTCTAGGTTTGGAACTCATCAGCAGTGCGTAGATACGACTCCTACCACTCGAACGATTCGAACCCAGGACCCTCGGTCTTGAGCGAGAACTCTTAACTTCTGGACCCCTAAGCTAGCTGGCATTCAACGGCATTCATATCTAACTCTGATCAATTCAAGGTTTTGCGTAACCTTATCCATTGTCTTCAATAGTTACTGCCTACACTCGACAGGGTTGTAGTTCACCGGTCTCACATCTTTTCACTGGAACTCCGAGAATTTCCTTACGAAGAACAGTATATTATTAAAGTGGCGGTCTATTTTTTCATACATTACGAGAATCATTCTAACACGTCAGATTCTCTGGAAATTTAAAACTTATCATAAAAATTTAATAAAATTAAGTGAACAGGATAAAACAATTTATAAAATAGATATCCAGTATTACTAGCAATAATAGGATAAGGGTTAACAGTAGAATGCAAGTTATGGGTTCCACTCTATTTGAGCGGATCCAAGTACATCCTACTGATGAAGACCAAATAGGACGAAACGCTCGTCTTTGATTCCCTTTGCTAACTATCATCAATTCCTGTCTACAATGCTTATGACGTAACGACGGTATTGAGGCAATATCTATTCTAGTCGTAAGCAACAATGGGAATAATCAAATCACTGTAAGATCCATTTTTGGAGACTTTTTTCGTGAAAATCCCTCCATGTTTACATGATTGTAATTTGTCCGTAACTGATTCCTTCAGTTGTACATTTTGTTAATCTGTTCAGTTCCATTTTGAGATGATAGTTTCTATTTCTTTAGCCTTCACTGAGTTTCTAGGTTTCTTTCTAAACAGCATTTATGTTGTATAAGCTGATACTTAGTCATGGCGACAGCCATATTGATTTGTGTCTCCTTCGATTAAGTTGCTTGCTACGGACTGGAATTGTGCATTTTGATTTTGAAATGAAGCACTCTTCCAGAATTAGAAACACTCTGTGTTATGAAGCAACCAAATATTATCTTTCGTACGAATCTGATCTATCCATAAAGGATAGAATATCATTTATCTGCTGTGGATTTGATGAACTGAACAATTGTTGGTGGAATAACCGAAAGGTAATATTTGCTTAGGTAATGATGTATATACTGATATTTATGATGAATATTAGAACCGTTATTTACCCAAATCACTTGTGTTTTGGATTTCAACTGGGCAATAGCGCGTATCTAAACTACCTAGACAGTTATTCCTCAATCCAAACCTCAGTTTGGATTCTACATCACCAATAGAAAAAAAAGAATTATATTCAGTATGATTGTAGTTAAATCTTTTCCTTTTATTACCTGTGAATATTTTGCAATCGCTTCAGTGCCCCATTTTAATCCAGCAGCTAAAAACCATGTCAATGTAAGTATAACCCACCAAACTGACGATGCCATACCAAAAACATAAGTCAATAAAAATACAATACTACATTGTATTGGACCGGTTGTGCTGATTCGTAGCATTGATCCATCACAGGCAATCAATTCATGACCCATACTAACACGTATTATATAACCAAGTGCAATCATAAAATAACAAGTGGACAAATAAATAATTGGACGTTCTGGATATTGAAATCGATGTGTATCTGTAAGAAATGTTGTCATTGTAGCTAATGTAGATAGAATACATAAAATTGACCATAAACCAAGCCAAAATGTTGCGAATGTTCTATCTGATTGATTATCAAATGTTGGACTATGACATGCTGGTAAACATCCACTTACACCACCAGTGATAACTTCATTCAATGGGGGTTTTAACCAGTGTACAAATGGATCACGACATTTACATGGGTGACAAATAACTGGATTGAATTGTTTCTCATATGATGATGATGATGATGAAGATTGAATGAACTTTGATCGGGATTCATCACGTTTCGCCGGTTTCCCGTCGGCGGTAAGTTTATTATGACTTGATGTGGGGGATTTTTGATTACTATCGATTAATTGATGATTTGATAAGTAGGCATAGAATTGATTTATAATTTCTGAAGAAGGAAGAATAGTTGTGAAATTATGCAGGTTATGCAATGCTTGTACATTTGATTGTGATGATGAAGTTGGATTGAATTGATGTGGATGATAAGAACGAATTTGTTGTAATAATGTGAATAATTCATGATTTGGTGATGTTTCGCCGGATTTTCCAGGAACACGATCTTTTGCGTTTTGATCAACAGTTGCAACTTCTTTATCAGAAGGCGATGATGATGTAACTTTTCTATTATTTGGTGTGTTACTTCGACTTACACATTCGTTCTAAGAAAAAAATTCAGAGGAAAAAGAGTTTTGAAGATTAGTGTTTTTAGATATTGAAATCATCAATCAATCATTGCGATATTGTCATTAAGAAACCTGGAGGCATTGAACAGTCGTTCAGCAGAGCGCATCCACAACTCCAGGACCGGAGGTCCTGAGTTCGAATCCAGAGGGTAGCATGAGTCGTGGATGCGCACTGCTGATGAGTATCATACCAGGACGATAAGTTTGTCTTTAAAAGCTCCCAGGTTTCTAATCGTGTTCTAGCCATGATAGATTGACAATATCAATGTGGAATAAAGATTATTAATCAGTTGGAGTAGTTCAGTTTTCATGATAGATTTGTGAAGATTGTTGAGTTACGTTTTTTTGAAATTCTGAATCGCTCAATGTTAAAGCACAATTAGAAACATGGAAGCATTTGACGGCCATTTCTTGTTAGTATACGACTCAACAGAACGAACAATCCACCACGTTCTCTGGCGAGGATCGAACTTAGGACCTTTGGTCTCACTTGCGAACGATTAACCTCTACACCACTAATGCCAGCATCTAACGGTGTAAATGTCTAACTTCGATCAATCCACGGTCTTGCACAGCCTCTTCCAGTGGTTTTGACGAGCACTACTTCACATCCCATCACAGGGTTTGAACTCTACTGGTCATGACTTCTCACTAGAACTCGGAGAAACTTCCTCATGGAACTAGTCCCCAGTGAGCACATGATAATTTGCATTATGAAGTAGAAGCTCTTACCGATTTCTAGATTCAAACTAAACATTCATGAACCAATCAGAATTTCACCATAGGCTCAAGATTATTAGCGCTTAAACGTCATTCCCAGTCAGTGATTGAAAGTCATCATTACAAAACCAGTGGTCCGATGGTTAGGCGTTCGCGCACGGGTCACGGGTTCGAATCCTGTGAGGTGCAGGAGTCGTGCATGCGCACTGCTACTGATGAGTCCCATACCAGGACGAAACTGCTGTCTTTCAGTGCTTCTTCCAGGTTTCTAATGGTAATCTAACAATGATTGATTGATGATTTCAAATGTGTGAAAAATCACAATCCTCCAAATCTCTACCTGAAAAAAACCAAAAAAAAGCTCTAATTTATTTTCACTTAGTGAAATTCAATTTAAAAATATTAATAATAATAATTCGAAGAATTGTTTTCTCAAAGTGTTTTTTTTATCAAGATAACTACAACATCAACCACAATCATACCAGATGTATAAAATTTCACATCAACCAAACAAAATATCGCCATAAACAAAGTTTTTTTCTTGGTCTTTTGTTCAAATTTAACTCTGATTATTCTTCATCTCAATGAATACTTTCTCGTTCTTTTTTTTTGTGAAAAAAAAATATAGAACCCCTAAGTATAAACAACAGAATAATTTCAATGAATCAACCAACTGAAAAGGAAAATTGTATACACATTCGATTGAATGAACTTAGTGTGTATGACTTTCAAATAAATATTTTCATCGTTGTTATTATTACTATTATTCTTGAAATTATTCTGATCTCAAGAGTTGTTACGCATGAATGCGAACACGTCATTTGAGATGCTTGATTTATTATTACGAGTTTACCTTAGTTGGTGAACGAAAGCGATGATCGAGGATCCGACGGCACGACATGCTACTCTAATCTGATTGTCCCAAACCCCCAATTGAGTAAACGAAGAAGATTTGATGTGAAGTAGAACCTGTATTCTACAAGCATCCAGAAAGTACGTGGTCCGAGTTCAGAAGAGGATGGGGATCCCGGACTAGAGACCGGGTCATAAAACGTTACAGATAATGCGAATTTATACAGTTAGGTTGAGTAGGAAGCAACATTGAAGTCTATGACATTGACGGTTAGAACGACCAATGGGAAAAAACATTGAAGTACACGACAGTGATCGCTAGGATGACCATAATATTGACCAGTAGGAATTGACCAATAGAATTAGACTTTCAAAAATACTTCACTTATGATATTTGATCAATATCCTAACAATAGTATTGTGGCGTATACTACTTATAGCGGAGCATATAAGTAGTAGTGTGCAGTGGACGTACTGCATAATGTCACCTTGAAGTTACAGCCAAAGTGATGGGTTTCAGATAACATATTCATGGCGTAATTTGAGCGTTTTAAATGAATAAAGGATTTACGGAACAAGATAGCTAAGAATACGCTTATTTTGTGGAAATGGATAGCTGTTCTTTGAAAAAAGTGTACACACTTGGTGTATAGTTTACTAAGTTGCATGCTAAAAATACACTACGATTTTTCTTCAATAAATACCACAAAATATCTCCAATAGTAACATTATTAATACTATTATTATTATCATTAATAGTAGTAGTAATAGTAGGAGTCATAGTAGTAGTAGTAGTGTAGTGAAGGAGAACACAGGTGAAGACAACCGAATTATATTTAATGCAAATTACAGAGTTACTCAGTGAAATAGGAGAACCATATCGTAAATCGTTAATTTGCAAATCTTCAATCCATCATCAATCCATTGTCTGACATTTCACTATTCATGCATTTCATTCAAATTCCATTGTGTTCCCACTCTTCCTTTCTTGATCTTCCCTCATCTTCTGCTGCCAGACATTACGTTTTTACTCGCGTCATATACTACTTATAAGTAGCGCGCACCACAGTAGTAGTAGTAGTAGTCGGAGTGCTAGTAGTAGTAGTAAGAATATCAATAGTAGGAGGTAGATGTTTACCTTGCTTTATTCAACTTTATTACGATAAAGAAAAGACAATAAGAACACTGTGAACAACTGAGTACACAAAAACTATCAAATTCATTGTTCAGCATCTGGTGAATTATTGAAAACATTGAACATGAAACACGTTAAGCAGAAGTTTTGTTATTTATTGTTTTAATTAATTAATTAATCCATTCTAAAAAATCATGTAAATGTGTGTTAGGGATGTTAGATCCCCAGAACTCGCTTGATAAATGCCTTTTCACGTTTGCCAGCATGGGCTGATCAGTTGACCTTGAGATTTCATTTCCCACCAGGAAAATCCATGACTGTGATTGGCTGCTGTGTATTTTAGTGTGCTATTTTCGTAACTGTTCCAAGGACGTTTCGATGATGTATAAATAAACGAGAGTTGTATGCTTGATTTTACTGTGTGATTGTTGGGTGTTTGTAGAATATACTTTGTACGCTTACCAAGACTTCTGTTTTACAGCTTGGGATTCAAGGTAGCCTATCTGGACGCTGGTAATTGTCTGGTTCGCGTTTATCAACTAAGGTGAACTCGTAATACCTTCAAGCCTACCTGGTGACGAACATAACAATTTGATACAACTTGAAGAGGACAAAACAAAGGAAAATTGATGAAGAATATTGTAAATTTGTTTCTGCTACTACTCATAACATTTAATATTTTACCAAATCAGATTATTATAGGAAATGATATGTTTATCAATCCGAAGATGATTAAAGATGAGCCGCGAAATTGTACAATGTGCTCACTAGTGACTGGACTGGTTAGAAAATTCTCAGAGTTCTAGTGAGAAGATAAGACCACCCTGTTGGGTGGAGGCAGTAACTACACCAAAGACGATAGTTGAGGTCGCGTAAAATCTTTAGACTGATCAGAATTAAACATTAACACCGAAGTATGCCGGCTCAGTAGTCCGGAGGTTAGGCGTTCGCTCGCAAAACCGAATGTCCTAAGTTCGAATCCTGCGAGTAGCAACTAAGAGAATAAAATTTCAACAAACTGATCTACTTGAGCTACAAATCTTCTCCATAATCTCCACTATCATGTCTGTGAATCTGAGTACATTCTCTCATGGTTTTTTGTTTTCCCAGAATGTATCGATAACTAATAAAATTATCCGTAAATACATTACATACTATTCTGTCAATTATTAGATGAGATGGATGGTGGATAGTAGAGGAATCCACGACGCAGGTTTCGCTCTATTTGGGACTGACTCATCTTTGAATGAATGTACCTTCGATATGCGAGACTTGAACGCACTCTCCATTCGCTTCAAACGTTATCACGATATCCATTTAGCCAATGAGTTCAGATAGCCATTTTAATTGATACTGAAGATCAAAGTCCATAATAATGGGAACATCACATTTTTTACTAGATAGTAGAAGGTATGACGAATTCAATTGAAAACGACAGTTGTTGTATAACCAAAGAACTTGACGCAACAACTTTGAGCTACACTTTTGTGGTGCATACGACTGTTTAATTTGAAACTATCTCTGAATCAACAATCAACACTTCTTACATATTCTAGCTTTGAATCATGTTTAACACAGTTTGTTCAGTGATAAAAATATCCGGTTAGCGTTAGATTTTCATGAATGAATCATTGCTAGGTCACTGTCAGAAACCTGGAAGTACTGAAAGACGGTCGTTTCGTCTTGGTATGAGACTCATCAGCAGTGCCCATTAACGACTCCTGCTACCGGTCTGATTCGAACCTAGGAATTTCGGTCTTGCACGCAAAAACCTCACCTCTTTACCACTTGGCGGGCATCCAGCGGTTTTAATGTCTAACTTCTATCCACACAGGGATTTCGCGTGACCTCACCCATTTATCTTCAGTAGTTACCGCCTACACGCAATAGGATGCACAATGCTGATAAGTCCCATACCAACACGAAACGGGTGTCTTTCAGTGCTCCCAGTTTTCTAATGGTGGTCTAAAAAGGATTCGTTCATGATTTCAGGGTAAAACTACCATTTCTATAACACTTTAAAGCCCAAATGAACCATTAGTTTGTTTGGAATCAAGCTTGAACTTTCCTACCCACCAACTAAGTTTAAGCGCCAATAGGATACTCGCTTTTTATCTCCTCATTTCAGTAAACAACACCCGTATCGCGAGAAGACAGTGATTAAGACTTGTTTATAAGTGACTATACACACCTTGCCATTCAAGAACTTTTGCACAAGTCAACCAGACTCTACTCACTCTGAACTAAACCAAAATATTTGCAAGCTATCCGTGACAAATTCATATTGAAATACCTAACTAGTATTTGATTTATTCTAAAAACATTCAGTATTCCCGCAAACTTATAAAAATAATCTGTATTGATCAAATGAATTAGTTAAGTATCGAATTGCATTGCGAGGTTGTTGTGAAGATTGTTAAGTTTTATTTGTAATCATGAATCGATCAATGTTAGACCACCATTGGAAACCTGGAAGCACTGGACGGCCGTTTCGCAACTCCAAGTGAGACATTAACACCGCCGTGCGCCCGCTCAGTGGTCTAATGGTTAGGGAGTCCGCGCACAACACCGAAGGTCCTGGGTTCGAATCCTGCGGGTGCAGGAGTCGTGGACGCGCATTGCTGAGGTATGAGTTCCATACCAGGACGAAAAGGCCGTCTTTCAGTGCTTCCAGGTTTCTAATGTTGGTCTAACATTGATCGATTCATGCTTTCAAAAATGTGTAACCTAACAATCTTCACAAGCCCGTGATGCGAATCACCTGTGCACACTAGTGACTAGTTTCGTGAGGAATCTTCTCCGAGTTCTAGTGGGAAGACGTGACCAGTGAAGTTCAACCTGTTTGGGTGTAGACAGCGTCTACCGAATACTGTGTATGAGGTTGCGCAACTCCGTGAATTTGATCAATTTCGACATTAACACCGAATCGAATCCTGCGGGGTGCAGGAGTCGTGGATGCGCAGTGCTACTGATGAGTACCATACCAGGACGAAACGGCTGTCTTTCAGTGCTTCCAGGTTTCTAATGCTGGTCTAACATTGATCGATTCATGGTTACAAGTATCAAATTGATAATTGACAGAAATATCAATCAGCTTATATACATATATATATATATATATATATCAATGTGTATTTATTGAAAACCAGTCCCCAAAATATACAACCCATAGTTTGTTCTATCTTTTTTGTTTGTTTGTGCCTATTATTTACAACTATTTTCTTCTTATTGACAATTTAATTTATAAGAAGAAAAAAAAGTTTGATTTTGTTTATCTCAATCTAAACAAAATAAATAATAAACATCTGATTCATTGTAGAATTTGAAACTGAGTCATAGTTCAATTTTTTTTACCTTAAGGCTAATTTACATCCTGCTGTGTAAAAAATTAAAAATGAAAACTTTTAATAGAGAAATTTGTTCCTTTGGCTGTGTTCTATTTTCTCGTAATTCCTATTTCTGAAAGTGGATATTTTGTATTTACATCAATGATTACTAATTGTAAACATTTTGTATTGTTATAATGAGCGGTTGCCCAAGGATTTGTGATGTTAGATACGCATCAAACTGACTACATGAGTGAGAAGGTAAGAATGAGAGGAAAAAATTTATTCAGTGAAGAAGATCTAAGCTAGACACTACCACTGGTAACGTGAAAGGACTGGACATCTGTTTTGTCTTAGTATGTGACTCCTCAGTGTTTCGTATCCAAAACACCTACCTGCAAAAATCGAACTCAGAGAACGCGTGAATAATGATTTGATCACTAGTGACTGGCCTCATGACGTATACGTAGAGCTCAAGTAAGAAGTCGTAACCAGTGGAATTCGATTTGTGTCAAGTAGGATACAGGAATCCGAAGCAGCTGTTGTACATCATCATAGTTAAGCACTAACACCATCGGATGCCAACTCAGTGGTCTAAAGTTTAGGCATTCGGGTGTGAGATCGAAGATCATGGGTTCAATGCAAGCTTACTGGATCGAAGATGAGCACTGCTCAATTGTTCTATACTAGAAAGAAACGTGTGTCCAGCGCTTCTAGGTTTCCAATAGTTGTCTAGTTCAGATTAGTTCGCGATTTTAACCATGACAAATATTATTTTGGCTACCGAATAATATGCCTTTATACGTACTGATATCGATACATTATTTTGCCCCAGAAAATGAAGCCATTCCCTGAAAGATGACATGCTTCTCTTAGTTAGGATATTACTGAGAGAGAGGGGCTCCAAGTAAAGTTTCCGTATACATTAATACCTACAATATTCAAATGGTCTAATACTTTGCATCAGAATCGAAATGCTGTAATAGTCATAACCTTGATAAAAGAGTCTGCTGAGTCACAGCTGGAGTCAATGATTATAAGGTTTGCTAGTTGAAACTCGTCAGCAAAATAAACTGGGAATCTTAAGAAACTAACACTTCCCGTATAAAGTGATCCTATGTTATATAGTCTTACGGGTTTGAATGGTTCTTCCACTGAACTTTTTGGGTTCAAACTGACCGCTTGTACAGCGGGTTTATTTACAATTACTTACTTACTAAAGCTTGTAACTTCTAATGTAGTACAGGCAGCCAACCAGCAATCTCTTACTCTGTCCTAGACCTTCCTTTCCAACTCTACTCACTGCTGTTCATTGATATTGATCACTACTCAGTGACTGATCGATTCAAATCTAGAACTCATGTTAGCCATTTTATAACAATCTATCATACTTAGCCAATAACGACATGGAAGTAAGTAAAATTTTACACTCAGAACTGATCATCATATCTACATATCGATTTATGCACACATCAATAAGTTGTTTCGGTATAAATCAATGAAAATTATAAACAGAGACATACAGTGTCCGACAGTGGAATCCAGGACGTTCGTTTGATCCTGTTTACGGCTTATCTTTTGAATCCCAGAATCACATCATATCAAGACTCGAACTCAGACTAAAACATGGCAGAAATCCATGAAGTCACTGACAAGTGGACTGAGTCATGTTGGTAGATGTAGACTACCTGGTTGGGGTCCGACGAAATGATAATAATCGATGGTTAGAGACCTTGAACGACATGGCTCAACATCGTTTGCAATGGCACAAGTGTATCCATTCGTTGTGCTCTCTCAAATCCTAAACTTCTGGATTCGTCAGCCCCTCTACCTTTGTCTTTCTAACCTTATCTCACTGAATTATATTTCTTGAATAATAATATCTTCAAACCCTAGTCTTCTTCATTACCATTAATACCACTAATATCTTTATCACTATGGGATTTGATTTGCCATCTGCGTCTCTATACTAATGTGGTATGGCAACCTGAATTTATGTACATACGTACGAAGTTCTACGTTGCAACTGACTGACTGGCTGAAGACTCGAACCTGATGCCATTAGTTTCAAATGATATTGTGTTATATTAGGTGCTGAGTTCAGATAGCTACTGTTTTATGAAATGCAGTGTAAAAAAACTGTGGATGGGTTTAGTGTTTCATAGGATAACACTTGTCATTTAATGTCATTCACTGATAAAAAAACTAACCATAACTTATAAATATAGGTGTATGGTATTCAGTATTGAATTCTAGAATGTATGTTTCGCCTTATCTGAGATTTACCAGACGAATACAACCAGTAGTTAAGTGAATAACACGATGGTATTTGAAATGCACAGTACTGGGTTCGAATCCCAGAGTGACCATCGACTCTGCAATGCACGCACATCCAGATGTCAAGTCTTAATAAATACGATATAAAACACTCATCTTGGATTCTACTGTTAGTCGCAATCCATATCTGCGACTATTGCTTAAGATTTAACAGCACTATCAAGGCAGTTTTCCACACAAAATACGTAAAAATACAAATATATTCTATAAGATAATGTTACTTACTCCTTCTGGTAAAAGATCACAATTCATTCGTTCTGGCCAACCAAATCCATAAGTACGCATCACTGGCATACAACCATCTCGTGCACTTTCACATAATGATTTACATGCGGTTAAACGATAATGCCAATTCGGTAAACATATCGGTGTATACATACTGCATAGAAATAATCTTAAATCTTCGGAACAATTGATTTCAACTAATGGATAAAATTGATGAACCTTGTTTTATAAAATAGAAAAAACAGAAAGAGAAAAGAAATTTTAGAAAAACATAAAACAAACAAGATTATAACAACATTTTAACTGTTAAATGTTTCATTGAAATCATGAAACTTGAAAGCACTCAAAGATGGTTGTTTCGTTCTAGTATAGGGACTTATTAGCAGTGCGCATCCATAATTACCGCCACTTGCAGGATTCGAACCTAGGAGATATGGTCTCAAAAGTGCGAACACGCAACTTGTGAATTACTAAGCCGAAGATTCATCTTGAGACTATCGATTTAGCAATGTTGATGTGAAGAAAAGGGTACTAGATAAGAATAGCGTATGAAATAGTGAAAGTTCATCATTCAAAGTGGTTGGAACATGCGTAACGTATACCTAACCATCGGCTGCTTAGACGAGGGATGTTATGAGTTGTAGGAATAGGCTAGAAGAAAGCTCGGGGCGCCACCAATCCCAAACATGAAGTTATAGACAACTGAACTGAACCATGTTAGTGCATGTAGACTACCTGGTTTGGCCAAAAGTGACAGGGAATACAGGAGTCTGTGAAAAAAGAATCAGACACTCAGAAGTAGTATATAGTTTTGTGCAGATCAATATTATTTAAGTGAATTTTCATTGACTATTTTTAACAAAAAAACAAAACTATCAATCTAAGCATCCATACAATAGTTATTTCATGTAACAGTTATCAACCAGCCTAATAAACGGAATAATGCACTAGTCCCTACATTACAAATGGTCATCACTGTAGCTATTAGAAGAAGTGTAAAAGTGTTGTAGTAGTGTGGTGTGAGCTATTTATAAGTAGTATATGACGTGAACGTCAATGTAATGTCTGGCAGCATAATATGGGGGAAGATCAAGAAAGGAAGAGTGGGAACACAATGCGATTTGTATGAAACGCATGAATAGTGAGTGACAATGGATTGATGTTTTGCAACAGGAACAGTCCAGTTCGATATGATGAACTGATATTTTGCAAATGAACGATTTACGATATGGTTTTCCTATTTTACTGAGTAACTCTGTAATTTTCGTTAAATACAATCCGGTTGCCCCATCTGTGTTCTCGTTCACTACAGTAGTAGTAGTAGTAGTCGGAGTGGTATTAGTAGCAGTAGTAGTAGTAATAGTAGTAGTGGTAGTAGTAGTAGTAGTAGTAGTAGTCGGAGTGGTAGTAGTAGTAGTAGTAGTAGTAGTAGTAGTAGTAGTAGTAGTAGTGTGGGTTAAGATTAATCCCACCCATAAGAACACATACCATGTGTCATTCAAAATATTTCATGTATGTTTACGCTGGAAAAAAGTTAACTACATTTGTAGTTAGTTAACTGATTAGTTAGTTAGTTTGTGTATCTAGTTTTCACACATATGTACTTGTTTTAAACAAACAATTTTAACTCGAATATATATATCTTCTATACACACACATATGCTTGTTTGTACAATATGTGGTTTCTGTGTGTGTTTGTATTATTAAATCTGGTTAAATTTTTCAATGTTTTTTTTTCAAAAAATTGAATACATTTTTTGTTTGAATTAACAATTTGTACAATGTTACAGTCAGGGTACAGTTTGATTTCTTTTTGTCTTTCTTCCTCTCATCATCATCATGTGTAATATGCACAAAAAATTTATTTACCTTTAGGCTTTTCACAATTTTGCAAACAAATATAAGAATGTACAATGAAAACAGCTGTGGTCTCGAATACCATCATGAAAAGTTGGACAATGTTGTTACTGTAATTGTTATAATTGTAATCAGTACATTAGAAGAAGGAGTAACAGAACTAACGTTTGTTTTGTTTAAATTGTTCAAAATCCATTGAACATTGAAAGTTGAAAATATAGATTGAAATTGATTGGTCTAACGATTGTATCGAATTTTGCAAATCAATAACATTAACTGATTTTTTCAAATGGTGAGTAATATTGTGGTGCGCGCTACTTATAAGTAGTATATGACGCGAGTGTAAACGTAATGTCTGGTAGTAGAAGATGAGGGAAGATCAAGAAAGGAAAAAGAGTGGGAACACAATGAAATTTGTATGAAACGCATGAATAGTGAGTGAAATGTCAGACAATGGATTGATGATGGATTGATATTTTGCAAATTAAGCGTTTACGATGTGGTTTTCCTATTTTACTGAGTAACTCTGTGATTTGCGATAAATTCAATTCGGTTGCCTCACCTGTGTTCTCCTTCACTACAATATGACTTAATGAATTCTGCCTTATTTTGGCCTCCAACCGTTTTTTTTTGTTTGATTTCATCTAATATAACAGTTCCATTGGCCGCCAGGAATCTGGTTGCAATTCGGAAGAATAATGGAATACTTGCTGAAAGAAAAACTTTCTGTTTAATGCTTACGTGAACATCGTTTGTGCGATGGCGGTAATCAGAAAGAAGTTAAATACGCAATCATTTGGATGAGTTTATTTTCCATGCTGTCATTCACATTGACAAACATCAGGATAAAAAGCGGTACAGTGAAGGGAAACGAAGAAAGTGGGCCAACTCAGTGTGATGAGGAGCAGATACGCACTCAAGTTGTAGTGAAGGAGAACACAGGTGAAGTCAACCGAATTGAATTAAACGAAAATTACGAAGTTACTCAGTAAAATAGGAAAACCATATCGTAAACGCTTAATTTGCAAATCTTCAATCCATCATCAATCTATTGTCTGACATTGTCACTTATTCATGCGTTTCATACAAATTCCATTGTGTTCCCACTCTTTTGTTTTCTTAATCTTCCCCCATCTTCTGCTGCCAGACATCACGTTGACACTCACGTCATATACTACTTATAAGTAGCTCGCACCACAAAATAAAAACAATCAAGGTTATAAACACGAATAGTGTGTGAATAACTTGAGAAATATGAAGTGAATATTTTGTCCGAATGCTGAGACAGGTAAAGCCGGCTGTAAAAATCAATGCACACTACAACTACTATGATCTAAAGTAATTTTGAGATATCCTATTTTATGTTAGAATATTTTTTTCAAAACAGTATTGAAACCATGATTGTTGTTCATTGGTCAATTATTGAGTAGTTAACGATGTCCTGTGTACCAGCTCCTTGCTTCTTAATGCTGATTGGTTTTAATCGACCATGTTGTCATGTGTGACCCGATATCGCGTGCACTAAGTTAAGATGTAAGGTGGTGATGGCTGGAGGTACTTAACAAGAAATCCTGAAGGTAGATTTTCTTTTCCATTTAACACCGATCTACAGGAAATATAGCCTTGACTATCTCCAATCACTACTACCCTACATTTCAACATAGTACACGTGACTTGAAGTCACACCTACATTAACGACCACATTACAACTTGATCGATAGAATTTTGATGCAAGTTTATTTGCTACTAAAATAATACATTAGTAACATCTTTGATAACTCTCTATAAACTGCAACTGTACAGAAAATATCAATTTCACGCTAGATTTTAAAAGAAGCCTTTCTTGAAAGATTCATTTCGTAAAAAACTTTAATTCTTATCAAACACTAGCTTAAAGTAATTTCAACTAATAACTGTTAACTGTGATGAATTTTTACACGGTAAGTAAGCACTACTGTAAGAATACTAGGCAGTAAGAAGAGTATCATTAGTACAGTTACAGAATGTGTACCCAATAAGTACACATTTGCATCTTGTCATGTGTCCTATTGCTAGAGACTATCTTCTCTTACTTCTTCTTCTGGTCTCTAAAGTATTCCGGATAGGTTGTGTTTTGTTTTGTGACCGACCGATGACGTTCTGTTAAATTACTACTCATGAGCTATCTTGTAAGTAGTATAAGAAACACTATACGTCTGTATATATTGTATTTATAGGTTTATAACTAGTACAAAAGACAAAACTTCATGTTAGGAGAACAATAGATTAGGATCTAGTTTTGACTGAGTAACAAGTGAAACTTCCTACCATTGTTTTTAACTTGGGTAGATCAATTTAGTAATAACGACAAACTCTTGAAAATCATCATCTTAAATCTTCCATCTAATATTCAGTTTCATTTTAAATCGAGCAATACTGCTGAATGCCATCTCCATAGTCTAGAGGTTAAACATTCGCGCAAGAAACCAAACGGTCCGATTCCTACGTACTGGGGATCGTGGATACACATTGTTGATAAGCAGTACCGCACTAGGACAAGACGACCGTCTTTCAGTGCTTCCAAGCTTCTGTAAGTCACAGTCACATGCAACGTAGAACTTCGTACGTAAGTACATCAGTTCATGTTGCCATACCACATCAGCACAGACAGATATAATTGTCAATTCAAATCCAATAGTAGAAGAGGTAGTAAAGATATTAGAAGCAATCGGAGAGGTTAGGATTAGAAGATATTATTCAAGAAGTATGATTCAGTGAGAAAAGTTTAGATATAAAAAACTGGAGGTGTTAGAGAATCCAGAAGATTAGGGTTTGAGAGAACACAAAGAATAAATGCACCGGCACCATTGCAAACGGTTTTGAGCCATGTCATTCAGGGTATCTAACCATCGATTATTATCACCACGCGGACCCCAACCAGATAGTTGACAACTACCGACATGGCTAAGTCCACTCGTCAATGACTTCATAGATTTCTGCCATGTTTTGGTCTGACCGCCTCTAACTTTCTTCCAACCTACTCCTACACTACAAAACAAGGCTCTTCGAGGCAGTCGGTGGTTAGGCATACGCAACACATGTCCCAACCACCTCAACTGATGAAGTTTCACCACTTCATCTATTGATCTGCCATTCTTACCTAGTACCCGATTTGTAATAACAGCGTTGCTCACTCGGGTGTCCCACGATATACGAGCAATGCTTCGAAGACACCTACGAACGAAAACCAATAACCGAAGAATATCTTCTTATCTCACTGGCCATGTTTCACAGCCATAATTTAAGACGGAGCGAACTACTGCGCAGTACACTCGTCCTTTAATCAGCAAACTTATATCTCGCCTACGCCATAAGTGACGCAGGTTGGCAAAAGCCAATCGAGCGTTCTGCATCCGAGCTGAGATTTCGTCAGACGCCAGGCCATCAGCACTGATGAGACTCCCAAGATAAGTGAAGCGGTCTACACGTTCGACTACTTCACTCCCCATCACTAGTTCAGGTGCCGATGATACCCAATCTTGAAGCAACATTTTGCATTTCGAAGGTTAGAATCGCATCCCGAACATGCTTGCAATGTTGCTTAGGGTAGTCAGAAGACTCTTCAATTTGTCAACATCTTCACCAAGTAGGACAATGTCATCGGCATATTCTAAGTCAATAAGCGAGCCACCTGGTAAAAGGTCTACTCCTGAAAATTCAGACGAGGATAAAGTTATTTCTAGGTGCAAGAGCGGCTGTCTAACATTTTTGTATCAGTAAGTTTCAGAACGAGAAAATTTTAATGACCAAAACACATACTAATTGATATACTACTATCTATCCATCTTGTGTTTATTTTTTGTTAACCGGTTTCAAATCATTCTCATTCTGATTAGTTTTTGAATTAAAAAATCTACTCCACAATTAAATTGTAAATATCTTTCTTTTCTCCCTCTCTCTCTCTCTCTGTGTCTATTAATTTGAAATTATTAATTATTTTCAATTATCTGGTATTTCTCTCTCTGTGTTCTTCCTCAGAATTTTTCCAAAAAAACTGAAAACCTGCTGTGAATTATTTAAACCGAGAAAAAAAGAACCATAGTGGTGATTAAATTTTGCTTTGATTTTATTTTAAAACTGTTCAGAGGTCAGATTGACAACCTGCTGTGTACAGAGTAAAATTCTGCACATATCTATCTATCTATCTCTATCTATCTATCTGCATTAACGTATATGTTCACATTTCTTTGCCTCCGATACAACTTACTGATTTAATCACACTTCAGTGATGGAATGCTGGTTATGTAGTGCAATTAATGAATAACTATCTAGTTAAATACCACGTACCAACTTAATACAAATGTCACTCATTCAACAACACGTACCCATACACACACACACACACAGCGCAGCACACAGCGTCCGAGAGACACAGAGAGAAAGACACTAGAATTTCGATTCTGGACGTACACAGAGTGCATACATGTGTGCACGTGTACATCTACGAAGTGATTTTGTGCATTCTCGTTAATTCACCTCTTTTTTGTTGTTGTTGCTACTGCTACTGTATGTTTTGCACTTTTTCTTTTCCAATCCTACCCACACTCTCCTACACTCTTTCACTCTCCCTCTCACTATTTCTCTCTCTCTCTCTCTGTATTCATTAATGCGACCCAACAGTTAATAGTTAATATATAAGTAGTTTATCACCTCCTGCTAAGTTGTTGCATATGTATGCTTTTAGTAACTAATGTCTATTTTTATTTTTTTTTTGTACGGGTGATTAGATAATCATACTAGACAAGTAGAGGTTTATAATGAATAATAATTAATAATAATTATAATTATAATTATTATAATTATTATTATTGTTTTAATTAATGCATTAAATTACTAATCATTTGATGCATTCATTTTTATCAGATATATATGCGCGATAATTAAAAAGCGGCAAATATATAAGGAAATATTTACCGATTATACAAATCAGTTAGTTAGTCAGTCAGTCAGTTACAATGTAGAATTTCGTAGATATGTATGTACAGCAGTGCAGGTTGCCATATCACACATTACCACACACAGGGAGATTGAATTGTCAATTCAAATCCCAAAGTAGTAGTAGTAGTAGTAGTAGTAGTAGTAGTAGTAGTAGTAGTAGTAGTAGTAGTAGTAGTAGTAGTAGTAGTAGTAGTAGTAGTAGTAGTAGTAGTAGTAGTAGTAGTAGTAGTAGTAGTAGTAGTAGTAGTAGTAGTAGTAGTAGTAGTAGTAGTAGTAGTAGTAGTAGTAGTAGTAGTAGTAGTAGTAGTAGTAGTAGTAGTAGTAGTAGTAGTAGTAGTAGTAGTAGTAGTAGTAGTAGTAGTAGTAGTAGTAGTAGTAGTAGTAGTAGTAGTAGTAGTAGTAGTAGTAGTAGTAGTAGTAGTAGTAGTAGTAGTAGTAGTAGTAGTAGTAGTAGTCAACACCTACCGACATGACTCAATCCACTTGTCAGTGACCTCATGGATTTGTGCCATGTTTTCGTTCCATCCAGTCAACGCCTATATCATATAACATCCCCCTCGTCTCGGTATTCGGTGGTTAGGCATACGGTACGCATGTTCCAACCACTTCGACTGATGAACATTCTTTACTTCACCAATTGATATGCCATCCTTACGTAGTACCCTTTTCATCACCCCACTATAGCTTACTCGACGGTACCAGGATATAAGAACAGTGCTTCGAAGACACCTATATAGACCAGTATAATAATAATAATGACAGTAATATGTATATATGTTTCGTCAGCTGGATGCATGCATATCCTGCGGTTTACTCCACCAGAGGAATCCATTAACGGTTCGCTGTTAATGTTATCGTATTATCCACTCAGATATTGAGTTCATATAACTACTTACTTTTACAATGGATATGAAATTTAATACAATGAATTATGACTGTTAGTAACATTCAATCTGTTTTATAATTTTTTTGAAACTATGAATCGGTCAATGTTAGATCACCACTAGAAAAAACCTGGAAGCACTCAAAGACGGTTGTTTCTTCCTGGCATGGGACTCGTCACTAGCAGTTCGCATCAACGTCTCCTGCTAATTGAAGGACCACTGTGCCGGTAACTATCGGAGGTAATGTCTAACTATGACTAATCCGCGGTCTAGTGCAACCTCATCTTAGGGTTGAATACCGCGGTAGCACACACTGCCACTGCCAGGACGAAACGGTTGTCTTTTACTACTTTCAGATTTATAATAGTGGTCTGTAATATCGATCAATTCATGATTTCAAAAAAAGTAACTCAAAAATCTTCACAACCCTATAATGCATATTTCATGAGGCCGAAGTGTGGTTGGTGGGTGTGAAGGGCCCGGGGTGGAGTTGGTGGCGCTGAGGACGATGCGGGAAGGTGAGGCAAAGGCTGTATACGACAGCTTGGACGGTGCCGCGGGGAAGACGGCCTGGGAGACGGTCACGGAGCGAATAGTGACGGAGTTCGACAGCCCAGTGGACAGGGAGAAGCCGCTGCAGGAGTTCCGATTGGCGAGGCTGTCGGCTGATGGTGACCCGCTGGTGCTTGCTGTGGAGCTCATCAGATTGTTGCGCCGTGCTCTGCCGAATATCGATGAGGAGTCGGAGGCACAGTTGTTGGCGTCGCAATTTATTGAGAGTGTACATGCCGCCATGTCCCAGGAGCGGGAAATAGTAAACGCTACACGTTGGATAGATGCCATACCCATTTCAGACCAGCGGGCAAGAACAATGACTGAAATGGTAATCCGGCATATTGTAGCGTGTCACGGAATACCGAAAATGATATTAACTGACCAGGGTCCCTGTTTTGAAAGTGATAAGTTTAAAGCCCGTCTAAAGCAGTTTGGTATCAAGAGGATACGAACTACACCGTATCATCCTCAGACAAACGGGCTTACAGAGAGCAACAGCCAGACGTTAAAGGAATGGTTAGCATCTAAAAGAGGAGATTGGGAGAAAGAGTTACCATTGATTTTGCTGATCCCAAAGTGTGAAGGACCGTACGTTATCACGGAGAGACGCGGCGCGGTTTACACGATCCAGAGAAAAGACAGTCAGAAGCGCGTAAATGTTAGTCAACTGCAGAGATGGTTTCAAGATTATCAAGTGTATGGGTCACGAAAAGCACCAAAGATGACAACGTTACGGCAGTCAGAGAGACTACGAGGACAGCTTATTAAAAGGGGGGACGAATGTGGTGCGCGCTACTTGTAAGTAGTATATGACGCGAGTGTAAACGTAATGTCTGGCAGCAGAAGATGAGGGAAGATCAAGAAAGGAAGAGTGAGAACACAATGGAATTTGTATGAAACGCATGAATAGTGAGTGAAATGTCAGACAATGGATTGAAGATTTGCAAATTAACGGTTGCGATAAGTTTTTCCTATTTTACTGAGTAACTCTGTAATTTTCGTTAAATACAATTCGGTTGCCCTCACCTGTGTTCTCCTTCACTACAATGTGATCAGAAGAATAAATCCTTCAGGAAATTGTTGTTCTCTCTTAGAAAACAAGAATGTGACACAATAACGTTTTGATTCAGATTACCGTATTTCATATGAATCGACAAAATGTAATATTGGCGAGGTGGAAAGCTAGAAAACCTAACTGATTGGGTGCCGATCGAAGGTCCTGGGTTCGAATCCTCGAACATTCACTATGACTATCTGAGTTCTACACATTATCAGTCATAACCTAAATGACCTATGACTATGTGTGATTAGGCTTCAAATTGTGAAATGGGCTGTTCAGATTTTCAAATCCCACCCAGCAGTTTCATTTTCCTAAAGATCTCAGGTACTTTTTGATGAAGACTACCAACCAGTATAAAATCTATGTCTTGGGGTTTCCTACAGACTACTGCTACCATTCTAACAAAACATGAAATTTAATCTATACAGGTTAAACACAACAAACTGACAGTGTTGATTGATATGAAGATCAAGGTATTGCAGGAAGATTAAACCTGCAGAATTAAATTACATTTTTCATCCTGGTGTGGAACTCATCAGCAGTGTGCATGCATGACTACTGCCCCTCGAGAGAGAGTCGTACCCAGGACGGTCGTTCAGTGCTTCCACGTTTCTAATGGTGATCTAACAGTGATTCATTCATAATTTCAAGATAAAACTACTATCTCTATAACAATGTAAATGAAAAAATTGTACAATGTGCTCAAAATAGTGATTATTTTCGTCAGGAAATTTTTGGAGTTCTAATGAGCAGACATGAGACCAATGCATTTCAACTCTGTTGGTTGTAGGCCGCAACTACCTAAGACAAATGCTTCTATTGATCAGAGTTATACATTAACAACATTAAATTCCGGCTAGCTCAGTAGTACACAGGTTAAGCATTGATGCACAAGATCGAAGGTTCTGGGTTAGAATACTGAGCATAGCGGGAGTCATGGATACGCACTGGCACTGATCAGTAGTCCCATACCAAAGCGAAACAGCCGTTCGGTGCTTCCAAATATCTAATGTCAGTCAGTCAGTCAGTCAGTCAGATGCAACGTAGAACTTCATACGTAAGTACAGTGATTCAGTGAGAAAAGTTTAGAAAGACAAAACTAGAGGGGTTGGAGAATCCAGAAGATTAGGATTTGAGAGAACACAAAGAATAAATGCACCGGCGCCGTTGCAAACGGTTTTGAGGCATGTCCTTCAAAATTTCTAACCATCGATTATTATCATCTCGCGGACCCCAACCAGGTAGTCGACAATTACCGACATGGCTAACTCCACTCGTCAATGACTTCATGGATTTCTGCAATATTTTGGTCTGACCGCCCCTAACTTTCTTCCAACCTATTCCTACACTACAGAACAAAGCTCGTCAAGGCAGTCGGTGGTTAGGCATACGCAACACATGTCCCAACCACCTCAACTGATGAAGTTTCACCACTTCATCTATTGATCTGCCATCCTTACCTGTAACTCGTTTCCTAATAACAGTGTTGCTCACTCGGGTGTCGAGCAATGCTTCGAAGACACCTATGATCGAAAACCAGTAACCTACGAATATCTTCTACTCTCACTGGCCATGTTTCACAGCCATAATTTAAGACGGAGCGAACTACTGCGCAGTACACTCGTCCTTTAGTCACCAAACGGGTATCTCACCTACACCATAAGTGACGCAGGTTGGCAAAAGTCAATCAAGCTTTCTGTATCCGAGCTGAGATTTCGTCAGTCACCAGGTCATCGGCACTGATGAGACTCCCCAGATAAGTTAAGCGGTCTACACGTTCGACTACTTCACTCCCTATCACTAGTTCAGGTGTCGATGCAACCCAATCTTGAATCAACATTTTGCATTTCGAGGGTGAGAACCGCATCCCGTACATGCTTGCATTGTTGCTTAAGGTAGTCAGAAGACTCGGGAAAATATCTAACGATGGTCTAACAATGATTTATTCATATCTATAACAACTGATGTATATATCAAACATATGTCCTTTAATTCAACCAACACCAAAGTGTTGATTGACATTTAGAAACTTTCTTTTCACAATTATTCTTAATCATAATAATAATAATTACTAAATAAAAAATGCATTATCTCTCATCAACTCTTTCCGAATACACAACACATTCTTGCTAATAATAATAATAATTGAGATAACATGCTGATTTGTTTGTTTCAAAATTAATCATAATAATTATTATTATTATTCCTCCGCTCAATGTTGTGTTTCACCTCTCCTATGCATTCCCCTTTTTTTTCCCCGCCTATTCATTCGTTTCAATGAGATAATTACAAAATTAATTAATTTATTGTACATTGAATAATAATATTACAATTAAGTCTTAATAATAAGAGTAATAATAATAATCATCATCATCACAGTGATAAATAATTACAACAGTGTTACCATGTACCTTCGCCTCAGTTTGCTTCGCTTACTTACTTACACTATCTAAAATGCATTTTTTGTTTAGCCAGTGCGAGTGTGTGCGTATCCATGAAAACGAAATTCCACCCGGGTGAAAATTCGTTCGATCAACCAAACTAAAATTTCATTGTTGTCTATCAGATGAAATAATTAAAAAAGTTTTTTTTTTGTTCAATCATTTGAATAACAAACACTCCAGGTGATCGACAATCTTTCCCTTCAATAATGTACAATAAATAATTAAACCCATACACATAACACACACACACACATATAGAGAGAGAATTGTTTGTTCCCTAAACTAATCTCAAAATGAACTAAAAAAATGGCTATGTGATGCATATTTATAGACTGGAAGTTTTCAAGCATTTTTATGTTGTTTTATTGTTTTACTAAACATGTTGTAATAATCTAACAGTCTGACTGACTGACTTTCTGCTATGATTTTTGCAAAAACACCACAGGAGTTGAGAAAGATTACATTTTGAACGAGAAAAATACAAGAATTACTATTTTTTTTCATTTTAGATTAGACCC